GTCAGTCCAGTCATACCATTATGATATGATCCCAATTGGTCCACTCTACGAGTTTCTATTGCTTGACAAAGAAGCAATCTTAAGTTGCAAGAAGAACCCTAAAAATTGGCTAAGTGTTTCTTCTGTTTTGGGGTGTCCACTTTGCAAGGTCATTCCTCACAAATGGCTTGATAAAAATTCAAGGAGAAGGATTGGAAGTGAAGTCCAGATGTTTATCTACATGTTGGAAGGATTGAAGGATCAGAATCAAGTCATTAAGGCCATTTTCCAAAGCCTTGAGGGATGTTATGACAAAACAGGAAAATTGCCTAGATTTGACCAAGTGTGGAAACGTGTTTAGAAAGCCTAATTTGGAGTCCTATTCGTGCTAGATGAGTGAGAATCGAAGCAAGAGGGCTACACCACATGAAAGTACAAGGTTTCTACTACAACCTCAAGGAATTGGTTGAGCCCAAACTTACCTCTAAGGGTTCGAATGAAGAGCTCGAAGATCGTATGAAGCCTGTGTTTTCTGCCTAGCCTCTTAAGCAAACTGTTTTCCTTATGCTATTAGGATTCGAGTTCCTTGTGTTGTTATGAGTTTAATTCCGTGCAATGCAGTTAAAATTGCGCTTTAAAACTTAAAAGCTTACAATTTTACCCTTCTAGGTTACCAAAACGCTTCTACGTAGATTCGCTCATTTCCCTTGCAAGTGTAGTCAAAATCTACGCTTTAAATCTTAAAAGCTTACGATGTTACGCTTTTATGTCACCAAAACACTTCTAGGTAGAATCACGTTTTTGACTGCATTGATTCCTAGTTGTGTTGAGTTTAGGACTTCTAGCTCTATTTAAACCTTTCAATTGCATTGTAAAGTTAGTTTTTTTTTGGGCAATGTCTATTTTTTACCCAAACCTTTTTCAGATTCTTTTATTTTAACCAAACCTATTGAATTCCTAAAAATTATCCAAACGTTAGCTCTCCGTCAACTTTTCTGTTAGTAATGCTGACCAAGTATGACCATAATGAGTTGACTTCCTACGTGGCGGTCAGAATACCATCATTTACTATTTTTAATAAAAAGATTATCAAAAAACAAAACAAAATCCCACTCCTCACGTGGACGAAATAAGTAACGGTAACATAATGAATGCCCAGACTTTGATAAATTATAATACGTTTGGATAATAAATAGAATTTCTATAGGTTTGGTTAAAATAAAAGAATCTGAAAAAGGTTTGGGTAAAAAATAGACATTGCCCTTTTTTTTCAATTGAATATAAACCCGAGTTTGGCTTATCAAGCATCTTGCTTCGTGAATTTGAGTGAGCAACTTTGTGGATTCTAGGTTGTTTGTGAGCCTGTATCGATCAATCATTCACAATGATCGTGGCCTTGCATCGATTTATACTTTTCGAGCCTCTCCCCCCCTTATGAAAGTTGCACAAAAGTTCCATACCAACATAAAAACCCTACCCTGTTTTTGTGTTCTTATTCGAAGGTTCAATTCAATCTTTGAATTGATCTTTAGCTGAGCTACTTTGATTCAAATCCAACTTTGCAAGTTGTGTATCACTAATATTCAAAAAGAGCAGTGTTGGAATATATGAACAATATAGTCGGACCGTACGATCATTGGTTATTGGAAACTATGTAATTGGAAAAAGATCAAACACATTGGAAAACATGTGTTTGGTAATTAAAATTGTACGTCACCATAAAAATTGTACGATGCATAATATAATGTGACAATATGAAAGCAGTGTAATCTACCCCTACCAATAAAAGCTTAGAAGTTTAATGAACGTAACCGACGTAGTCACCACAATTTCGCAAGTTGCTAAACAACCTTAACTACCGAGAGAAAGAGTACTCGATATACTTATTTTGATCAACCAAAGATACATAACATAAAATTAACTAGCTTATGGCCCGCGCTATGCCGCGGAACAACTAAATTGTCGGGTGTATATTTTATATTTCGGTTTGAGTTGTATCGTTGTTTTGTAACTCTTGTATTTTATACTATATTTCATCATCCATTATTTGAGTATGTTAATAATCTTGCTCCAACTTCATAATTCCTCATTTATTGTTCTGGCCATAAACATATATAAGAGAAAGAAACCATAATTATGCTTTACATAAAGAAAAGTCAGTGGTATGGTATTTTCTACTAATGTTGGTTCAACCATTTCGTTTCACTAAAACCGCCTACTGCTTGAGATCTTAGTATTCGGTATTTCCTGTCCAACCACCAAGTACGGTAGGATTTCTAAAACATGGAGCTAAAAATACATAGTGATGCCACATCATGATATGAGAACAACAAATTGACCCATCCAATTGCAAACAATTCATTCTTGGTTGTTGCATCAAGATCTTAACAAACATTACCATGAAAACATCTGGGTGGGTTGACATTACCTTTGACAAAAAACGGTGGTTAATCTCACAAATCAATACTACAGACTAATGATAAGAACAATACTGGTGGAAAAATAGTTAAGTAATAAGGAAACAAAATACCAAAAATAATTTTGCAGCAAATACATGCAGTACACCTTCAATGTCATTAGTTGTGGTTTGACTGAGGAAGAAGTTAGTCATAATTACTAAACAAATCCTCGGACAGGAAATGAGAATTCAAGAATCAACAGCAAAGCATTATCAAAACGAAGCTTCCCATGATAATACCATCACTGCTAAACTTCAAACATACAGCAAGAATAGATCAATGATCTTAGAAATATGTTTGTCATTAGTTGTGGTTTTTGATTGAGGAAGAAGTGCTTGAACAGGAAATGAGAAATCAAGAATCAAGAGTAACGCATTATTAACAAAGCTTCCCATGATACCCTCACCACTAAACTTCTGACTTAGAGCAAGGAAAGATCCATGATCCTAGAAATATGTCTGCAGTACCAAAGTTCTAAAGAAGTAGCATTTGATGGAGATGTGCACCGTCCAACTTCTAAAATCATTTAATGATGTACAATATTAGATTGTATCCTGATCAACCCAACAACTATCTCTTTAGGAAGCCTTATACTCTGTCCTTTATTTTAAAAACTCTTGCAACAGCAGAATCAACAAACATTAGTATATAAAACCTGCATGATCAACTCGTAATTTAGATATAAGATATATAACTTAAAACTTTAAGATGATATCCTTTCATTATTAAGCAATGATAGACACAGTATGTGAATGATAAGCCAAAACATACACGAACCATATAAAACAAAGGAATTGAAAGCATCAATACTGTACTTTCAGCAAGCATGAGGAGAATTGAGGTAAAATGTGTCAATAAACTGAGTTTAACGTTTTTCAACTCAATGTGGAATTAGAGGATTTAGCAACAAACAGAGGCAATTCATAGTTCATGGTTTGCATTTTGATCTAAAATGTAAGCTAAAACAGAAAATAAATGAAGAAAGGCTAGAGAAAAGGTGCCATGAGAACTTAGTGGAGATGTTTATTGATGAACATCAAGACAGTAAGAACATCCAATTGTGAATGACACAATCCACCATAAATACGGAGACTCAAGGCAAACATTAGATCGATCAGGGATGGATGTGGAGATCAAAGAACACTACTGAATGTGATCATAAGCATGATAAAAAAGAACGGTTTGCAGAGATATTCTGAAGAAGCCTGCCATCAACTTTCCATATCAAATTCGTTTGGAACTTTTTTGCCACACCTATCTATGAGTCACTACTCTCAAATCCAAACAAACTCAGGCAGACCGACCTATCAAATAAAGCACTACAATAGTCCGATAAGCAGAGTCTGAAAAACAAAGTAAGAAATCATGATACAACTTGGACTATCTCATCAAGTTGTTTGCTTCAAATAACAACTGTAGCAGCCTGCATATTTCCTCAAATATGACATCAAATTGAAACTGTCCAACCCGCAAAACAATATCTAGTTGACCAAGTAGTCACTGAAGAGAAATTTGGGTAGGGGAGAACCTTATCGATAGAGCCCTTTTCGCTAGAAATCCTCTGTGTCGATCTTCCAACCTTTTGCTGGAAGCCACCCTTCCACCCAGTAAGACGACAGAGCAGCCTCTTTCCCATTGCAACGAATCAACTCCTATTCAACGTCAAACTGGAGAAGAGGAGATTGGTCAGTGGCTGAGAAGGAGAGCAATTATCTTTGTGGTAAATTGCTCAACCCAATTTGGATACCGAGTCAATTGCAGGAAATTGGAATTCAAAGTTGGAATCTAAAACTATTGATACTTTCTGGTCCCTCTTCTCATTCATCCTCCAATACCCAATTTCATCGGCCATCAGATGGAGGGAGGAGCCATTTCTTCTCCGTCGAGATTTGTTTTTAGGGATTCTCCGGGAATAAGACCTGAGATCTCGAACTCAATTCTGCGTAGTAAAGGGACTGTACTCACAGCTGCCAGTGTTCGCATGCGTGCTGCTGCGGTTGTTCGTTGGCGTGTTCATCAATTGATTTCGATGCTTTACGTCAGAGCGGAGGAGGAAGGAACCTTCCATTCTTCTTCAAGTGGAATGGAGAGAGGAGGGATCCGTCGGAAAGAGGAAATTGGAATGGAGGACAGAAGAGGGTTCGAATGGGAAGCGGAAAGGAGTGGTCGGACAGAAAGGACTCCTTCGTCGTTGTAGTTGTTCACATGCTTGTCACCGCCGGTCGGGAGGAGGAGAGAGGCTGGGTTGTGTGAATCGATTAGAATGGTGGAGAGAGGAGTGGTCGAATGGAAGAGGAGAGAGGTCAGGAGGGAGGCAACATAATGCGGGCGGTTGTATGTGAGTTTGGGATGGAAAGGAAGTTATATTTGATCCAACGGTAACGTTTGGCAAGCTAAAACGGTGAATTTGGGATTGACCTAGTGCTCAGCTAAATCCACCCGCAGCAAGACCCACAAATCCCTTGGTGAACACTGAACAGTTGGTTCCGATTTTTTCTTAATGAACAGTGCCACGGATTTTTTGGCTGCTTGTGCTTTTAATTAATTGATGATTGATATCCTATGAATTTTCTTCCTCTTTCAGTTCTTTTTCTTGTACATTTTACATTTATAGTTTTCTAAGAAAAAACAAAAAGAATTCTAGACTAATTAATCAATTTCTCTCGCTTATACATGTACACCTAACCTATTATTTGCTAGTAATTTTTTTTTTGGAAACAATTTAATTTCTTTTCTTACCACCTTTTTAAACCATTTGTTATAGTCTTCACTTGCTAACTGCTCATATGATTTTACAGTAAAACAAAAAATGTACATTTCTGATATGTACAAATAATGTATGTGAGTACGAAAGGTTGGGGAGGGTATAACTACATGTATTTTCTTCTACACACATCATTTCTTCTGGAATGTTATCAACAAGAAGTATGCTACAAAACGAGAAATTACTCCAGTGAGGATGAGAAGGGATAAAGACAAAGACCAGTGACTGAGAGCATAGTTGCTTTGTCTTAATGAAGCACAACGAGTTAGTAGCCAGACACCTGAGTACCTGTGCCAAATATTTGGAAATCCTTTTGTAAATAAAAAGTATCTTACTGCTAGACTATTGTTAATGTTACTTGAGATGACAATAAGGATGAAAGTAAAGCAGCTTAAAATCATGGTCCATGAAACCGTACCGGACATCGTACCGGAAAAGTCAGCGGTAGGGTATTTTATGATAAAACCGTGATTTAACCGTAATTCAACCGTTATACCGGTAAATACCGTCTATCGGTTTAGTCTCCAATACTGGTATTTCGTGGTTTAACCACCAGTACGGTACGGTTTCATGGACACTGCTTAAAACACATGAGGAGAAGTGATTTCTCCGTGTAACATTGACAATTCCTCTTATATTCGTATGAAAGAAGGCAAGGAACACGAAGTTTTTTGTGACCAACCTTTCGGCATTTGCAATGATGAAAGCTTCCATGGCCCATTTGGGGAAGCACAAACGCCCTAGATACTTCACCAACCCTGTCTGTTCTTCTTGGGTGGCAACGAGAGTCAGAACGACAGGAACCAAAACCGAGCACTAAATCAAACAGATAGATAGCTTAACGTTAGTTTCGATTGTGATGTAAGAACATATTAATTAGGTGTGTATATATATATGGTCAAACCATATTTTTAACTCGATCTTACCAACTGAGCTGAACTAGGTTCAAGATAGATGGCGAAGATATAAGCCAAGCCGGTCACACAATACACAAGACATAGCAAAACCACGTAGTTGTCTTCAAAGGTTGACCTTGGGCTGTTGAAGAAATAAAACATGGACAAGTATACTAGAGGCTTGAGTATTGTATTGAAAAGGTCTAGCGTGTCTTTCGACAGGAAATAAGCCAGGCTGCTGATTCCAGAGGCACTTTCTCTCATGTAGTGTAGCTTGTCAAGAGAAAACGACCTCAATGCAGAAATCATGCATAGTAATGCTGCATGCAAAAATAAAAGTTTTGACAATTCAATGTTAGATTCAACAAGATTTTGGAAATTTTTTGAATAGAAAGAAACTTGTACGTACCACCCAGAGAGAGAGATTTTATCAATGGTCAACTTACAGACAGCAATGACGGTATAAGTGTAGCCTGTAGACCCAAATGTTTCATCATCCACTTTGGCAAGTGTTCCTAAGCAGGCTCCAGCTAGTAATAAAATCAGCAAATCGGCTGCTTGTAGTCTAGCTTCTCTTAGTCGTTGTTTGGTAACCCTAAAATATGATTTAAAAAAAAAAAAATCCACATCATCATCTAGCTTGTTGGCTAAAATCCTTAAGATTGATTTAGGGTAAATGTCACATTTGGTCACTGAGATTACTAAATCGTGTCATGTTTAGTCACTCAAAAAATTTAATATCAATTTTGGTCACTTGAATTATCGAAACAGGTCACATTTAGTCACTCTCTCGTCAGTTTTCGTCCAAATTCATTAATGGAGTTGGACGAAAACTAATGGGAGAGTGACTAATGTGACATGTTTCAGTAATTCGAGTGACCGGAGTTGGACGGAGGCTAACGGGAGAGTGACTAAATGTGACCTGTTTCAGTAATTCGAGTGACCAAACTTGATATTAAATATTTCTAGTGACTAAACATGATACGATTTAGTAATCTCAGTGACCAAATATGTCATTTACCCGATTGATTTATATGAAATGAATAGGATAGTAATTAATCATTACCTCCCAAGGTAATATCTATACTGACGAAGTATGCTAGGGTTTCTTCTATTGGACAAGTCCTTAGATTGAAGAAAGTTGAGATGAACTTGATCTTTGTGTAGCTCCACATGGCATCGAACATCCTGCCACAATTCCCCGGCGAAAGAGTGTTCCTCGACGACACCATGGTGATCATCCATGTCGTCACCCATTTGGGTTTTCTCATCAGACGAACCCTTGGCGATTTGATCACATAGCTCCAACATATCAGGAGGGACCGTGTAACCATTGTGTAGCATCCATCTGACCGGAAGCTCTTCATGAGTCATATTGTTGCTTGGTTTTATTATACCTTCTAGAATATCAATGTAGTGATCCGGAGGGGTCACCCGGTCCGGCACCACGATACCGATACCGGAGAAATACTCCTCCACTTTCTTCGTTGGCCCGTGGTATACGGTGAGACCGCCTTTCGCCAGCAATATGAAGTCATCAAACATCTTGAACATGGCGTAACTCGGCTGGTGGATGACCATGCAGATGTTGACCCCCTCGAGGGCTTCACGCCGCAAGGCTTTTAGAAGCAACTGTGAAGAGGAGCTGTCCAGTCCGGTCGTGGGCTCGTCTAGTATCAAAAGTGAAGGCTCCATCACCATCTCAATGCCCACATTAACACGTTTTCTTTGACCTCCAGATATCCCACGCTTCTCCACGGTTCCAACCAATGAATCTCTCACGGCTTGGAGCCCTAACGATTCAATCACTCTTTCAATGACTAAAACTTTGTCTGCTTTAGGCATGTCCGCGGATAATCTAATTAATAAAACCATTAACAATAATGTAACATAAATTAGAAATGAATACAAAAAAAAAAGGATGGTTACAAGATCAAATGAAATTAAATTTTCATAATAATTAGGGTTAATACCTTAATTTGGCCCGAATTATACACTAACTTTTCTACTTTGGCTTGTGGTTTCGAAAAATTGCTCTTTCTGGCCTGAACTATGTACCATACTTCCTTATTTGGCTCGAAGGCAGGTTTGACCGTTAAATTGGATGGTCAACAGAGTTGGCCGTTAGTCAATGGCCAGCTCACTTGGCCACGTCAGCGAGCAGATAATAATAAAAAATTTATTTTTTGAATTTCTGTATTGTTTCCTTTATTATAATAATAATAAACATAATTTTTTTATTTCCTTTCTTATAAAAATATAGAAATTCAAAAAAAAAATCAATATTTTATTTTTTTGCTCGCTGATGTACGGCCAAGTGAGCTGGCCAGTTGACCGTTCAATTTAACGGTCAGAGCCGCCTCCAGGCCAAATAAGTAAAGTATGATACATAGTTCAGGCCATAAGAGCAATTTCCGAAACCACCGGGGCCAAAGTATAGAAAGTTTATGTATAGTTCGGGCCAAACTAAGGTATTAACCCTAATAATTAAGAGATGGGGTTGGGTTTGCTTTGCTTACCTGCATCTTGCATTAAATCGAAGATTCTCTTCCACGGTCAAGTTTCCATGTACAGTATCATCTTGTGGCACAAACCCAACAATTTTCTTGTAACAAAGGATAGATTCATTCTTCCCATTTATAAGAATGGATCCTGTCCTTGTGCATCCAGTTGCCTTCCCCAATAGAGCAGATAAAAAAGTAGTCTTGCCGGCGCCTGACGGACCCATGACAGCAGAAACCCTACCTGGCATGAGCTTCCCAGTAACACACCTCAAGAGATGCTTCTTTTTACCTTTTAAAGTTAGAGTCAAATCCTTGAAAGCAACCTCAATAACGGGTCTACTCCTGACATCTGTGTCGGTTGCCATTGAAATGACACCCGAAAACGTCATGTTGCTATGGTCTTCTTCCATAGCTTTCTCCTTCTCCAGTTGGCCATATGCATACTTGAAAATCTGGCTGTGAGTGTGCAATTGTTTACCCTTTGGAGCATTTTTTTTAATATTCTTATCGCCGATTTTCATGTGAAAGCCGTCGTGACCGTGAGGATCATCATCTATCGAACGGACCATATTTGTGAGGTCTTTTGAGTCTTTCTTATCATTAGATGTCTGAGATTTGTCCATCGACTCCATAGCTCCACCTTGTTTACTGGACTTTTTGCGAGAGAACGTCCTGGAAATCTGCTCCTGCAACCCTATTTGGCGGATCTTCGACAGATCTTGTGCTGCTTTCCACCTGTGGCGGGCTTGTGCGGTTTCACGTGCATGTTTTGCTGCGTCTTCCCTCCTTTTTGCTGCTCTTCTTTCTCTTGTGGAAAGAGCTTGGTCCGAGCAATTGACTATTATAAGTAGGGATGTAGTTAGAATAACCTGCACAAAAATTGATTCACAAAAAAGTAGACAATAAATTATCTTGCCATAAGATTTTTTTCCCCCTTTGAAAATGGAAAAAAAAAATTAACTCACGATAAGGATGATTCCATAAGCATGAAGATTTTGATTTGCAGTATTTGGAGGACAACTAGTCAACTTAAAGCAAGCTGCAAAAAAAAAAAAAAAAAAAATTATGGAATTTATAGCAAAACATCCATGCAACATTAATTATTAAATCTTTAGAATTCTTAAATTAAGGATACTAGTTTAAGAGGTCTAAGAAAAATACTCACATGTTTGAGAGGTTGATCCCATCTGACAGTAATGTCTGCATTTTGGGCATAACATAAATAAATCAAGCAATATTGATTATCCTTGAAGAACGACAAAAATGAATACTAGAATGCTAAAAAAAAAAAAAAATCATTCTAAACCAAGGTTTTAAGGTGACGAGATTCAATACCCACTACTGCAAGGAATAGTAATAGTCGTAGTTGGACAATATGAACCAGGTGAACAAAAAAGCTCTCCTCCTTCCCCAACAGGCACCCATGAATCAGCACTTCCACATGTGTGATTGTTTTTTCCAGGAGGTATTTGGTAACCATACCTGCATGTTTTTCTCTCTCTCTCATCAAATGTGAGTTAGACTATGAAGCATGGTCCATGAAACCGTATCGGATATCGTACCGGAAATGTCAGCGGTATATGATATTTTATGATAAAACCGTGGTTTTACCGTAGTTGAACCGTTAGACCGTTAAATACAACCTACCGATTTAACCTCCGATACTGGTATTTCGTGGTTGAACCGTCGGTACGGTACGGTTTCATGGACCAATGCTATGAAGGAAACGTGAAAAAGATCAACAAGGTATGGACTTACGGGTCACATACTCCAGTTATTCTATTGAGACTTGCCATGGGACAATATGCACCTAATGGACAAGCTTCATTTACAGTAAAAAACAAAAACAAAAATACATGGTGAGATCCAAAATATTGTATACAACCAACCGAAAGAGTAAACATAACGACGGGGAGAGAGATAACTTCGTAAATAGTATGTATGTATAGTATACTTACGAATCATACAAGTGAGGCCTCGTGGGCAAAAAAATCCTTCACAACATGGTTCACAATCTTTGTTCCTTGAAGGCATGATTGTTGTCTTTATATCAACTTTTTGACTAGTTCCGGTGCTGCAAGCCCATCCCGGTTCACATCCGGGAGACCAATATGACAAATTGCAGTTCTGGTTAGGGCCTACGTGATGGACATCCTTATCAACCTTATCGAAAAAATTACTGAAGTAGACTTTGATTTCTGCTGCTGTACACAATCGATGCCCCAAATCACCTATTTAATCAATGTAAACATATGTATTTCATAAGGAACTAGCTGGATATAAGTGTTTAAGATGGATGAAATATAGTTATAGCACAAGCCTCAAAAGCTAATAGTGCTAGCAGGCAGCAGCAAAGAGGGAGAGAGGGTTTTATTATGGGACTCCGGTTCATATTTTGAGAAACTCAAACCTACCGTTTCAACGTTAATCCCATTGTTGCAAAAATTTAAGATGTATGGCCATGGATATCGTATAAATGTGTTCGATTTCAACATTTAACTTTCTGGAAACGTTCGATACCTTTTGTCTTTCTGATGCAACTTGTTAAGAATTCCAAATGTCCATCAAAATTGAAAGCCCCATTCCAATCTGTTTTCCTAGAAGACAAATAAAATGGGGAAAAAAGTATTTAGAAATAAAAAAATATTTAGAATTGTAAACCATTACCCTGACACAAGTTCAAACATTGTTACAAAATATGTACTAACACATTTTTAACGCAATATCCTAAGTTCTTCTCAATGTCCTTTTTGAAAACTGTGGAGAGGCTGGAGAGGTGGTTGTAAATCAACTTTGTGGTGCTGGGGAGCAAGGCTGAGTTTCCTGTTTGGCTGTAATCATCTTCATCCAATGAAACACCATTTTGAGCCAAACTTGGCAGAGCAAGAAGCATGAATAAAAAATGTGGCCTTGAGAAAATCATAATTCTCATTGTTCCCTTCGTCTTGAAAATCACACAAAACCTTTTGTTGTAACTTCACTTGCTATGGTAATGATCATCCAATTACAACAAACAAGGATGTGAGCACACAACAAAATTATTGTGTTTTTTTCCACGAGAATTCGAATCGGAAAAAGTCCAATGTCGAGCAATCATGGCATTCTCGCAAATGATAACAATGAACTCTCTCTTGAAAATTTCAAAGTTTGTGTAATGATGAACATCAATGGATGTGCAATGGGAAAAACTAGCTAATTCTAAAAGGCAACTGTATTACTGTATTTTTCCTTTCAAATTTTTTTTTTTTATGCCTTCTTCCCCTTCTATGGATGGGTTTCTCTTTTTCTTTCTTCCTATTTTCCCTGAAAATGGAAGTTGATGGTTGTAGCAAAATGGAAGAAAGAGAGAAATTGGACTTGGTGGAAAAGAGAAAAGATGATAGGGGTTGACATAAATTGAATGATCTCATAAAATTTGGAACAGAGACCTTAAATTTTGGGGAATTTAAGGATGAAGGAAAGAAACGGCAGGGAGAAATGAGTGCCTATATCGAAGGGAAGCTTGTATGTGTGCTTGTTCTCATAGTTATTATTTTTAATTGTACATCCTTTTAACCTACAGACATCATATTTATACAAAGGAGAAATTCTTGGGTCACGCCAGCTGATCGCTATGGATATAGTGAAATGTAAGTAACAAAATCCTAGATAAACTAGGGTCATATTCAACAAGGTCATTCAATGCATAACATTCACATCCAACTACTCATGTTTGACACAAAAATTAAAGTAGATTTGTTTAGGTGATTTTCAAGTAATAAAGCAAAGAAAAGTAAATCAAAGCATAAAAGTAAATAAAGGCAATTGAATAGGAAGTTTACTCGATATTAACATGCACCTCAATTCTCGCTCATATCATCCATCAATGCAACATCTATTATGCTACTCCATCCCTTCTACTAAAGCATTCCTAACTAACCTCCTGCCATATGTGAGAGAAACAATAATTAGCTAATGCGCACTTTTTCTTCAAGCCCTCAACTAACCAATGAAGAACAAAGAAGTAAAACAACACATAGTTAAAGGTGGGCCTCGTGAGCCATAACACATTGTCTATATCATTGGTGATCTAAAAATAAAGCCTTGATTCTATACATGTATGTATGGGTTATCAATCCTCACATACACACATAGGAAACTGGGATATCACAAGAAAGTAGTTTCCCAAAATTTTAGATGAAATTATAAGCAATGCATATAGTAGAATACAATAGAATCATAAGCATAAATGATAGTAAGTATTAGATCACATTTACATAAATAAAAACATATACATAAGCATCGAATGAACAAGCATCAATGGCATAACATAGGGATACGAAATTCAAGAATCCAATGGAAAGCATCATACGAAATTATGGAATGAGATAGTCATATTATAACGAGTTCAAATACCTAGACAATTGATTCAAACTATATATGCATAGAAGAGGAGGATACCACCATCGATGATGACGACATCTCCTTGACTGCGCCCCCTGATGTGGATACAAGTGATAAAATCCTAAGAGGCCCTATGGTCATATTCATTGAGTTCTTCTAATGTATAACTACTCGCACTAACCATCCATGCCATACATGAAAATCATAAAGACATTCAGGAGTTTTCATATAACAAACAAGTAAAACAAGAAGAGTAAAGTCATTTAGGGGTTTTGGATTTATAGATGAATAAAAGTAAGATACGTTATTGTAGAAGGTAGTCAACTTGAAAACTATCATGCATATTAGGGATCAATCACAATATGAATCGATGACTCATCTATTGTAAAACCTTATCCCTTCCTCTAAGGACACTCACTACACTTGCATGCGCCTATTGCGATAGAGATTTAACTAGCTAATGTGTGCTTTCACTTCATGTCATTACCTAACTAATGAAGAACAAGAAAGTTAGGGTACCATATAGGTAATTGTGGGGTTTGGCGAACCATAACCATAGCTTATAGCATTGATTATCTAACAATCAAGTATTGATACTACTCGAGGCAGAAGGAACCTAATAACCATGGAATTTTCTTTATATATTTAACAGTAGCCTAAGTCTTTGATTCACAAGCTAAAAAAAATAGGCAAGTATGAATGAAGCTCAGCCAGAAGACCTTCAAATTGGTATGATACTATCGATCTAACAGACATATTTCCCTTCTTGGAATAAATTAATTTTCTCTTGCGAATCTTTTGTACGAATGAAATCCCGTAGACTAAACTTTGACATAAGGTAATTGATTTGGGCTTAATTATACATATTTACACTCCATTTTCATGTGGCGTTTGAAGCGTTTGCATCGCCCGAGGTTCGATTTGACGCTATGTTTCTGCATGTTTCAGGTTTTAGCAGGTGGAATTGACCTCGAGAGCAAAAGTCTAACGAAAGAGGGCGAAAGCGGATCGAAAGGGACAAAAGGACCAAAGTGAAAGGGGAGATTCTCACATGTGGGAGAACATGAAATTTACCTAGAGACCGTAAAGATTGACAACTTCCAGTAGCATTAGCATGCCTCGCGGTCGCGGACAAATATGTGCTCAATTTTGAACTCCACCACTTTTGAACTCAAAACTTCTACAAATATGTGTTTGAAAAAAATATTTGAAAAAGTGGTTCTCACGTGAGAGGCAATCGAGCATAGTGTTTGAGTTAAGAAGCTGTTGATATGACTTGAATCGGACTATCAGCCGCTACGACTGGTAATCGGGTTCTGGGCCTGGTCTGTAACCGTTTCCTTTGCTAGATTGGATTAGGTTTAGACCCACATGGAGAAGTACTATAAATACTTCTCATACTCCTCTGTAATCTGTAATCTCCTCGATATAGTGAAACTGGCTCTCTCTCGCCCGTGGACGTAGCTAACACACATCGTGTTAGTGAACCACGTAAATCGTGTGTCGTGTTTTCGATTCTCGCTTTCGTATTCTTGCTTTGTCGATTCCTGCGATTTCCCGATCCGTAGCAGCGCGTTTATAACAGAAGCCAAAGGGCTTTTCTCTTGGCTCGGTGTGCTATTCGAGGATGTGTTTGGAGGTCGGATAGCTTTACCGCGTCCCGATCATCTTTCACTACTTACCATCCCCCAAACACCTCTCCTCCTCACAGAATCGTATGGCAAGGTAAAAAGCACCTTTTAGCTATCCAAGAGACCTTAGCTCTCATTTGTACCCAACATGCATGGCAACTAATATGAAGTGCAGGTTGGGAAGTGGTGCTCGGCAAGAAGACTACATTTTATCACATGTGACCTTGATAGGGAATGCAATGATCCATCCGCTCTTGGTCATGAGAGAGAGTTGCTTGCTTGCAAAGAGTTTGCAAAAGTTTAGTGCAATGCGCCAAACGTTGAAAAAGGAGACCAATAAAAGACAACTCCTAAATTGAAAGAAAGAATAAAGAGCACCCTCAAGAGTTCTTGTGCTTAATTGTTGTTGAGAAGTCCCCCGGTGCACACCTTGAGTGTTCATCCAGAGGTAGTAGGTATGGTGCTCACCAAGGAGTTTGTGTTTGCACAGTAAGATGATAGTAACATTTAATCGTCTTCGTCTACTCTTCTTTATGCAATGAAGAATAGGGTGCACTCCCCGTTGATTTTTCTATCAAGTTGCATTGGTTTGAGTAGGTTTGCTTTGGGACAAGCAAACGCCTAAGTGTGTGGGAGTTTGATAACACCTAAATAACCCGTGATCTACACTCCGACGCTCAAGTCAGTAAGGATAGATGATAGTGTATAGAGGAATGTAGAGAGAGATAGGGTTTAGAGAGAACCATCAGAGGTAAAATGTGGGAAGGGAGAGAAATCCCTTTGCTTGGAGGGTCTGGCCTCCTTATATAGGAGTCGGAGGCATCTAGTGGTGGGCGCCTCCCGTTGTAATGGACGCCCCCGACAGACTGGACGCCTTCGGGTAAAGGACGCCCCTAGGTGGACTGAACGCCTTCTGGTGTACTGGACCCTAGAATGAGCTTGGGCCCAAGGTGAGACGCTTTGTGGTGGGCTTGGGGCCATATTAGGCGGGTTAATACTAGACCCAACATTTGCCCCTTTGCTTCTTGTATTCTGTAAGAATGGAAGGAGTAAAATAACGCGTTAAGGTGTATTAACTTGCCTTACTTGCGAGTCTTCACGATGCGGTTTTGCCCCTTGTGCGACCATTGCTCAGTGATGGATGCCCCTGGTGATGGACGTCTCCCGGTGGACGAGACGCCACCCAGTGATGGAAGCCTCTGGGTGACAGGATGCCTCCCGGTGATGGACGCCCCAGAGTGGATTGCACCCTCGCGAGTCTGAACGATGCGGTTTGCTTGCCCCTTGTGCGGCCATCGTCTTTGCTTATTTGTTTAGCATTCATTGTCTCGAGTTAGAGCTCTCAAGTCGTTTGAGATTTCCCCACTAGCCCATTGCCGAGCGTGCTAATATGTAGGCCGTAATTGTGAGCTGTATGCGTTAAGCTGTTGGACCGCGAGATGGGCATGAGCTTGTGTGCATGTTAAGCGTGAGTTGTTGGCTGAATATTAGGCGTTAGCTATATGCTAGGGAGGGCAGCCCCCATGACTTGAAAGTTTTAACTCAAGGCGGCGTTTGTGTTTTTAAGATGCCACACCTGCTGGGAGGCGGGATCGTGTTTCTAGCTGTACCGATGTCGCGCCTACTAGGAAGCGGATTCAGGCTTCTACCTAGAGGAGAAGCATCGCTCAGGAAGCGAGATGCGGTTTATATCTGCGAAAGATGTGAGTGATTAGTGCCCCATATTTTAGAGCACAAACATAAGCATATCATGCGTGAAATATGTTATAGTATAGTGAAAATGATTCTCTTCATGGCATGACATGGCATATGATATATATTTTATCTAGCATGATTTGTAATAAGCATCTTCACGGCATATGATATAATATATATCTTAAAAGGGAGAACTTAGCTTGGGAATAAGTTGTAGAAGACATCTTGAAAGAGGTCTTAGTAATAGAAGTCGCATTATGATTTTCAAGGTAGTCTTGTAGTATAGTGGTATGCGACCAAGCTTGTGAGAGGCAAGTCTTGTGTTCGAAATTTGGTGGAGGCATTTCTTCCTTCTTTTTTGTACTTGAATGCAGAGTAGGCTGTCTATCCGACACGGGCCCGGATTGTGGTCGGAGGCGGGCCTTGTTACGGAAGGCGAGACTTGCTTTGTGTAGACTTGGATGCCGAGCGGGCCGGATGGAGGGAGGCTCGCGTTACAGATTTGAAGGCGAGATGTGGATCAGGCGAGACGTGAAGGCATTTCTTCCTTCTTTTTTGTAATTGAATGCAGAGCGGGCTGTCCATCCGACACGGGCCCAGATTGTGGTTGGAGGCGGGCCTTGTTACGAAAGGCGAGACTTGCTTTGTGTAGAATTGGATGCTGAGCGGGCCGGATGGAGGGAGGCTCGCGTTACAGATTTGAAGGCGAGATGTGGATCAGGCTTCGTGTGGGCCCAACCGGCAGGTAGATGTACGAGGAAGACCGTGCATTTGGCGGTCCAAACTGAAGACAGGAGGCGAGCTGGAAACGGGTTTCGGATGCAGGCTTGAATGCGGTCCTCAATGAGGGACGGGTTGCCGACGTCTCCACTGAGTGACGCTTCTAGCCTGCCTCGGGAGCTGTGCTTGCCTGGGGAACGAAATCCACCTGTTTCCTTGACAGACAGAGAAAGGTAGACGTTGCTGTCTATTGGGAAGAGAGAGGCTGACGCGGCAGGAGTATAATGATGGTGACTGCGACATTCTCTTCTCGGCGGAGATCTACGTTTTCTTCGTTTCCTTTTTCTCATATCTCAAGTGGCGACGGCGGCGCTGGCGAAGATTAACAATGGTGGTGGTGTCGACGCCGCTAGCAACACTACCGGTTGGAATCTTTCCTTTTTGCTTTTTCTTGTCGTCTTTTGTTGTTGCAAGCTTCTGTTAAATCCGTAACTTCCAGGCTCTTTTCTTTACTTTGGCGGAGCAAAGGTTGATTTTGCTTTTGTTGGTGTCGTCCATAGGGGAAGTGGAGAGTCTGATTTTTCTAGGTTGTTGACAGAAATGGCCTGGCGAGAACAGCTCGACGACAGATCTAGAACTTCTTTTATCTTTTATTTTGGCGGCTTTCGGTGGTAATTGGTGGAGGAAGAATCGACTTCATCTTCTCCTTCAGAAACCAAACGAGAAGAATACCAAATTAGGCCCCACGGTGGGCGCCAAAATGTTTGACCCGGATTAGTGTCGGGCAAGGTTGTCAACTCGCGGGTTGACCCGGACCCGGTCGACCTAGTGGGTTAAGGGTTAACAGGTCACCCGTTTTAGCCCGGAAATATGAAAATAGTCATTATATTGTATTTATCCTGATAAATCATATAAAATCTCATCTAACATATGAGTAATAACATATAACATTACACTAAAGTAACATGTTGTACTTAGATCCAACATATAGTGAAAATTCACACACTTATATAACATCAATATTCAAATGTTCAACTAAGCATTCCAAAGATTTAGTTAGGTGAAAAGAAAAATCGGAAAATAGCGGCATTTCGCAAACCAAAGAAAAAAATGACACAATTTGACCTCCAACCCGATACCTTGTAACGGTCGACCCGACGGGTGCGTGCGGCCTGTTTGTCTCAGCGGGTCAAGGTCAAAGTGGGTCGACCCCCGCGGGTTGACAACCTTGGTGCCGGGTGATTAGTGTAGAGCCTTGATCTGCACTCCCTCGTCTGGTCTCCTCGGGAGTGGAAGAATCCTGTGGAGAGTCGGGGGCGGCCCCCGTGATCTACACTCCAATGCTCAAGTTAGGGGAGGATATATGATAGAGTATAGGGAAATGTAGAGAGAGATAGAGTTTAGAGAGAGAACCATCAGAGGTAAAATGTGGAAAGGGAGAGAAGTCCCTTTGTTTGGAGGGTCTGGCCTCCATATATAGGAGTCAGAGGCATCCAGTGGACGCCTCCCGGTGGTGGGCGCCTCCCGTTGTAATGGACGTCCCCGGTAGACTGGACGCCTCCCGTCGACGGACGCCTTCGGATAAAGGATGCCCCCGGGTGGACTGGACACCTCCTGGTGTACTAGACCGTAGAATGGGCTTGGGCCCAAAATGAGACGCTTTGTGGTGAGTTTGGACCCGTATTAGGCGGGTTAATACTAGACCCAACATTAACCTATTAATTTTCTTCGTATCTGGGCTAAACTGATTCGTCCATCAATCCAGAACCCACTTTACCAACGGGCTAACCGTTTAGACCGGGTTGACAACACTGATTTTAAAACGTGAAAGCTTGCGGTAACCCGCTAGACAAAACCGCAATAGCCGAACTTGGGCCGGGCAGTTCCATTAGCCCACAAAAAAGCTGGACGGACGAGAACAGGATTTCGAATTATGAAAGAAAATTCCCATCAGCTCTTCACTTCTTCAACCACTGCAATTTATCCAGAGATTAATATAACAGAGACGGAAGAAAAGGGACGGGAATGAAATCGGCATTTCGAACCGCGTGCTTCATTACACGCTCCGCTAGCTTCTTAAACCCTAAACCCAATTGTCTTCCCATTTCCCGCCCTCTCAGTCCCGCAATCACTACGCCTGCGGCCCTTCCCCTTCCCCTGGTAATCGCTTCTTCTTCCTCCCTCACTCAGCCATTTCGCCCATTCTGCTTGTCTGCCTCCATGGCCGGCGCCGGTGCCGATGCGGGCAACTCTTTGTCCTCCCTTGAAAGCCAGTTCAAGGGTTTCCGCAGCCAGCTGGAAGAGTCGGGCTCCTTGCGCGACAGGATTCGGACGGTGGTGAGTGATATTGAGTCCACTACTCGGGTCATGCAAGCGAATCTCCTCCTTGTTCATCAGTCTCGCCCGGTCCAAGGTATTTGAAAGAAATCCACTAAGTTATCTGCGATTTTTGTTATGTTTTGAGGTAATTTGCTGAACCCTAATTTTGCATTCATGAGATATTGTTTTTGTTGGCTACTTGCTTTGGGTGTAGATATTTTGGAAGAAGCGAAGGCTCAAATTGTCAAGCTGGGGGATCTCTACAAGCAACTTGCTGAAATTGTTCGGGAAGTCCCTGGACAGTATTACAGGCGAGACCTCTGCCTCGTACAACTACGTGAACTGGTTTCTCTTTCTATGCTCGTGAATGTGGATTTAATTGGGTTGGCTTTTTGGCTGGATTGATTGATTTTAGGTATCATGGTGATTGGAGGAGTGAAACCCAGAGTGTTGTTTCGCTGCTTGCTTTTATGCATTGGTTAGAGACAGGAAATCTCCTAATGCACTCCGAAGCCGAGGAAAAACTAGAGCGTATGCCTCATTTCCCTCTTGACTAAACACTCAGAACAATTGGTTTCATTTTTTCCTAAGGTGTTTAGTTTCTTGGATGAGCCTGCTTTATCTGTAGTAATAGAGGTAATTTCTGTTCTGTGCAGTGAATGGTTCAGAGTTTGGTTTGGATGTTGAAGACTATCTTGTAGGTGAGTGATGCTGTTATTCCATGTTTGCTGGACAATGATATTGCTATGTTGTTGGTGCTATCAGAGCTTCAGCATTTCTTACAAAGATTAGTTATCTAAAGCCTATCAATTTGATGGGAATTTCCCTGAGTTTGTGATTTTTAAACACCTACGTGTTGTTGATATGCAGGCATTTGCTTCATGTCCAATGAGATGGTAAGACCTCTTCCACCGTTGAAATCACGCGTTTGTTTGCAGCTTGGTCTTTGTTCCCGTGTAACTGATCAAAGGTAAAGTTTTGGTTTTGCAGCCTAGGTATGTAGTGAACCAAGTGACGGCTGGGAACTATGATTGTCCAAGAAAAGTGATGAAGTTCCTCACAGACCTCCATGCAGCTTTCCGAATGCTCAATCTCCGCAACGACTTCCTTCGCAAGAAGTTTGATGGTATGTAACAAGAGAATGTTGCTTGTTTTCATCGAACCCAGACAGTGCAGGGCATGTTCATCCATTAACGCTATTATCGACGCCTTTCTCACTCACTCTTACCTCTCCAGGAATGAAGTACGACTTGAGGAGAGTTGAGGAAGTTTACTATGATGTCAAGATTCGCGGTTTGTCTCCCAATGGCGAGCCAATATCCACCGGAGAACAGGGCGTGCAGGGCTCGATTTAGAATAGATTGCAAGGCTTGGGTCTCCATGTATTGGATGTGTACGTTGGGACTTTTCTGAGTGAACTTTTCTGAACACTACTTTTGGTTGGATATGAGAAACAACCTAAGCTCAGTGGCTGTCTTAAGCTATGTTTGTCTTTGACAGTAGTCTGTAGATTAGTAAAATGAAATCATCTCTACCCTAAATCAGTGTGCCGCCGCGCCGTGGATTGTAACCAACGAGGAGAAAAAGGCATACCGTAACGCCGGTAGCCAAGTTAACGGATCAGGCAAATAGCAACGAGGAAGAGCTTAACGCCGTGATCGCATAAGTAAAAGGCGTAGTAGGGTGGCGTCAGGATTCTGTTAATGGCAGCCACCTGTCTCGTAGCCGCAGAGGCCGGACCCGAAATCACAAATTATTTCAAGATAGTACGCACACAACGTTATTGCTGGTCAGAACGAAAACTTTTTCGATTCCGTCCAATAAGGTTCCAGATATATCGTTCTTATTATTTTCTCCATCTGGCGTCGCGTATTGGGGTTTTGGCGGTTACACGAAGAGACTCTTTTCCTTCTGTTTCAGCCATAAAAGTCGGGACAACATTCGCTGCGGAATCTCTCTCTGGTCTCTGCCTTGCTGAGCGAGCTCTCACTCCGCTTCTTCTACCCACAGCTAAGGTGAGGAGGGTGGCACCTTTTCTTTTGTCTTTCTTTCCTTTGCTATGTGATGTCCGTTCGTCTGTGTTCTTGTTTTGGGGTACATTTCGAATTTGTTTTGTGCGACTGTCCCGGCGTGATTTCGACGGAATCTCGTCGTAGTTGTGTTGACGGTGGGATGAGTGGATGGAGTTGCTCTCTGGTTTTGGGGTTTCCGCACTGCTCTGTTGCGGGGCTGCGCTGCTGTTCTGTTTGGTTTCCGGGGAAAACGAAAAAGAAAAGGGGAAAAGTGTGGGGGGAGGCTTCTTGTCTTTTTGTTCCCATTTCTCTTTCACTGGCTTTCCCGTTTTCTGCCGTCTGGCCTCTGATTTCATTCCGCATCTCTCTTGACGTTGTTGGTTGTTGCATACTTCTCCCTTGAACTTGAGACACTTCCCTCTTACAAATTTTGCGGGAATGAGTTGTTTATATGTCTAGTGGTGGGTTGTTCAAGTTGCGATAATTCTGCATACTTATGTGAACGGTTGTTTACCTCTCCCGGAATGCCTACAGAAGCTCAGTTTCATCCTTTCTCTTAAGTAATTCAGTAGAAAGAGCTGAAAATGATGTGTGTCTGTCCTGTTTCTCAATTCGTGGAAGCATTGGCCCGCAAGTTTCGGTTGCTATAACATTTTGTCATATTGGTTTGACATATTGGCATTCACAATGTCATTCTGCTTGCCAGAACAATGGTGAGAAATGGCTGTGCTTCCCCTGATTTGAGGAAAAATCATATTTTTCTGCTAATCTCTTGAGTGTCTTTCGGTTGTTACCTTCTGGTAGGCTTCGATGGTTTCTTGTTCAAAACCGTGAACTCCAGCTTAGGATCATCGGATAAAAATGGATATCAAGCCACGGTTTGATGCATTTGGATATACGAAATCTCCGCAGGTGAGAAATTTGTGGCTGTTTTATGCATTTATGTTTGTCTTCAGATTTTGACTTTATTTTTGGTAACGTAGTCTTGTGATTTTGAAGACGTTTCCTGTATCCTGTTTTGTTTAGGGAAACGATGATGATTTCTTGGTTCCTGCATCACGAGGAGAAGCGGGTGATTTCTGGCCCATGCTTGCTGAACCCAAAGCAGAGAGTCGGTCTGTGGATGGCTTCGTATGGTATGATAACAAGAGTTCTTGGAGTTGGACCGAATCCGAAATTGATGAATTCCTGCAGGCCTTAGAGTATAACCCAAAAGGTATGTTCTTGAGTGATTCACTTTCTCTAGTACATTGTAATGTTTGACAGATTAGGCAGACTCATACAAATTACAATAGAGAGCTCTACCTTGTTTGCTGCATCTCTGTGGTCAATTTGTTGACCTCTTCAATTCTGCTGTGCTTGTTAAGGTGGGCTGGGTTACAGCGGAGCCGAAGCACAAGATATTGTAGAGCTTGAAGTAAGGATTTTCATCCTAATTGTTCTCTCTCCCGATTTCTTTGCTAGACTGATCTTTTCCTATTTGCAACAAAATGTTTCAACCATCTTCTCGCATGTAAATTTAATTGCTAATGCTGTTTTGCCCTTTCCCTTCACTTGTCTTGTTAGTGAGCTAGTTAATCGACTTTCATGGTGTCATTTAGGCTCTAGATGAACTGCTCGGTGGCATTTATGAAGTGGATAGTTTTTTCGAAGCGAACAAGTCCTCCACTAAAGGTGAAGAAAGTCAATCTCCTGGGCTTAGCTCTCGTAGCAATGGTGATGCTGCAAGAGCAGCTGTTCTTGGGTCGGCAGAGTCAGCAAGAGCAGCTGTTCTTGAAGCTCAATGCAACAATGATCCTAAGAATCTCAATCAGATGGACTCAAAGCCCTCAGTAAGTGGATATGAGAACATGAAATGTGTTCAGGCAACCAAAAGCTGCTCTTGCTTTCCTAGTTGGAAGGGTTTGGGTAAACGGTCCAAGAGATTTGTTAAACAACTTTCTGGTACAAAGTCATCTTGTCTTGAAACACCAACCGGGTCCTTGCCACGTAGGGTACTTCGAAAGAGACAAGCAGTTCCTTTGGTAAGAAGTTACTTAATTTGCCACTGTTTGTGTCTGCAAGTTGTGTGATTGGTTTTTCCCAGTCTTGGGTTCTGTAACTTATAGCTTCTTTGGACCACCTTCCGCAGAATATTGATTCATCAGATGACCTCAATACCCCATCCGAGTCTGAAGATGACTTCAAGGAGAAACAAAGATCTAAGAGGCGCAGCGTTAGAAGGAAGAATCACACAATGTGGACTACAGAGGAGGTGCGTAAACTGGTTGATGGAGTTGCACAGTTGGGAACTGGGAGATGGACCGACATAAAGAAGTTGCATTTCCCATCATCTTCTCATCGCACGCCTATGGATCTCAGGGTAATTAAAAAAATGAATGATCAATATTTTGTTGACATTTTAACAGTCAAGAAAGATCATTCCGCTCTAGTTGCTGTTGGTGCTACTTTTGCAGGACAAATGGCGAAATCTTCTACGAACCGCCTGTGCCGAGCATGATCTCAAACATAAGAGACGAAACAAAGGGGTGATTATTTTCTTCTATTTCCCTTTGGAAACTGCAGTTAATTTACACATTATTTCAGTGGTAAGGAGTGTTGATTGTTGATGAATCACAGGTTGGCGAAGAGAAGAAGGCGGGCATAGGTGGGGTGACGGAACCTCTGCTGCTACGAGTCTCGGAACTGGCCAGCATTCATCCCTACCCGAGGATTGTACGAGGTGGGAGGTATATGAGGAACAAGGACTGATCTTTAACCAACCAAATGTTAGTTCATCAAAGTAAGCTGTGAAGCAAACACAAGAATCTAGTATACCAAACGGGCTATTACTGATTTCTGGCTAGGTAGGTAGTTTTTGTTCAGGGCATGGTCGGTGTATAGAACAAGAACAGTATTGTTCTTCGGAAACTTATAGAGTACCGGCCGGGTTGGACAGGCTAAAAGTGTAGGGTTAACTGTGGGGATTGTGTTAGATTTTGTTTTGTAAAAAGTAGCTTGGTTTTTTGCGGATCAAACAGTGTGTTGCTAGCTTATACATATGGAATTAGATCAATATCAACTAACTTTGGCTCATGGTTCTTGATATCATATCAAAGATCCTATGAGAACTGAGAAGTTAGCAGAAGCCAGAATGAGTACAAGAGAAGTAAGCGGGATGAAATTTAATTTTGCGATTTTAAAATCAGACGACGGAAATGTGTACAAAAGATTTCCAACCTCTTCAAAAATCGCAGCCCCTCTTCCTCTAGCGTCCGTGAGCATCTCAAGCTGAGAATAGGTAAATAATAATCTTTGTTTCCTGACATCGAAAATTGATGTTATGTTATAGATGCTTGTGAGTTGTGACCTCCTCTCCATGCCTTGTGGTTAAGGTCGGAAGTTTGGTACCAGTATTTGGGATATATACCGAATACCGTATCGAATTTGACTATATTTGGTATTACCGAATACACGTATTATTTCTTGGGATTTGGATTGGGATTGGGATTGGAATTGAATTTCAATTGTTATTCGGCATTAGGGATTACAGGATTGGGATCGGTATATATACCGAAATACCGATCAATACCAAAATATAAGCTAGTATGTATTTTATCCTCTCAACTGAACTCTCGCATTCACAACTAAACGACCTTAAACCACCAAGAGTGTCATTTAGTTATATATAGATCATTCTATCACTATTAATAGTCATCTCTCGACCTCCAATTCGTCAAATTAACGATTACCAATGACAAGAACTTAAGATGTCTCCTCTCCTTCATTCTCCTTAATAGTATCCTAATTCAAGACACTTTGCTTAGTCTTTTCCCCCTAAATTAAACAATAAAATCTAGTTTATATATTTAATTATTAATTGCAAAAGTAATTAATTTTGTATTCAATAATACCGATTGGGAAACCGAAATGATTTAGGGATTGTGATTGACCTTTAGGGTGTAATTCGGTTTCCACCCCTACTTGTGGTAATGATTTCTCATCGATGATCGATATCGTGAAATCATTTTTGAGATTCCAAACCTTTGACAAAACAATTTTCATCGACCCAATATTAGGGTTTCCTAGAGCGACAAGTCGCCCAACTAGACCTAGTTTCTGTACCGCTATATCTATCCAACTGTCTTGTCTGTTTCCTCAATCACCAGTGGTTCCTCATCATCGTTAGCAATTCGAACACAATGTAACTGAAGTCGAATCTCTGTGGCTGCAGGCTCCTTCTCGTTTTCCTCTGTCGTCTTCGCTTGTTCTTCACGGAAAAGCCAGAGTCCACAGAAGAATGAAGGTGCAGTCAGGCTAAAACACACTCCCTAAAACTGGATGCAGGAGGCAATCCAGTAGCTATCGAGACCAAAGGGATGATGGATCGCCTATGGAAACTCTCACTTGGGATGATTCACTGATGAAACCTAACTCTCGTCGATGAGAAAACCTTAAATGCCGCCTTTTCTTCTCTCCGAAGAAAAAAGTTCACATTTTACATTTATTGTAAAAAATATTAGATACTTATTTTTGTTGGGTTTTAATCATCTCCATAAGGTTTATATTAACAAAAGATTCTCATTCTCCTAATCAGTCAGTGACAGAGTCAGAAAGCTCGACGAGACTAATTTGAATTGTGTTAATTGGAGAAGTGGATTAAAGGCTTGTGGACTATTATAATTTCTAAATTTGTACACGATTTACATATGATTTTTCCAAATTGAAAGGGACTACAACCCCTCCGAGTTTCAACCTAACTCAACCACTGCTCACAATTTTTTATTTTACTTGGTTGAAGCAACATTATATTAGGTCAAATAATGATAATTTTAATAATGAGTTAGATTATGAGGATTGTTAACCTATTCAACAATCATGATCAAGTCGCAAAGAATTACCACATTATTGATAAATATGATGGGGAATGAAAAAATGAATTTTTTAGAAATAATTTTAATAATGAGTTAGATTATCAGGATTGTTAACCTATTCAACAATCATGATCAAGTCGCAAAGAATTAACACATTATTGATAAATATGATGGGGAATGAACAAATGAATTTTTTAGAAATATACGAATTGAGCTAATTTATTAAGAAATAAATTTAAATTGTTCCATCACCCATGCTGGTCTAACTTATTCCTATCATATCATTGAGTATATTGATTAAACTGGAATTGGAAATCAAGTTAGCAAGATTCTTGTTAATGCTTAAGGAGGTCAATTAAGTCATTTAGTATGTTATATTATCTTTATCTAAATACTTAATAAGGGCTACAACTAAAATTTCCACTATCATATTCTAAGGACTAGAACTTATACCAAGTATATATGGAATATATTTTTGTTTGAGACACATTCATCCATTAATTTGAAAAGTTGTCCATAGCTATAATATCCGAAAGTTCGAGTCAAAACTGTCATTTACGCCAAACTTCATGTCTAAATACGATATTAACCCTAAAAACTTTAGTATGTCCAACACAAATCTAACTTAATTTATTAAAACTATTCTAGATATTCCTGCCAATTGACTGGATTCAAACTAGTAATGTAATATACCGTTACACCATTATTTTACTGACCACGTCTACACTGCAGCTTTACTTTCGCTATATACAATCTAAACGTTGCCATTTTGATTATCTGACTTTGTTTCACAAATAATCTCAATCTTCAATTTTGTAGTAATGAACACCAAATAAATGTATGAATTTACACAAAAGAAAATCTTTTATAATTTGCTTATACTTCACATATTCACAAACTCATTTATTGACTGTTGTAAGGGTAAATTTATTATTAAAAATGTACAAAGTAGTGTTTTTTATCGAAGAATTGACATGTATGAAACGGTTTAAAACTATAAGACAATTTCATCATTTTTTGAACAATGGAGATGCAGGAAACAGAGTCATGGATCTGGGTGAGAAGAAGAAGAAGAAGAAAGCAAAACCAAAATAATATCAGGAAATGGAGGGGAGAGAAATTGCTTCCCAAGCGGAGGCATGGGACTTGTTATGGGGTTGGAGTGGGTTGGCATTTTTCGTTGCAAAAACCAGTTGAGATTTCCTTTCATTTCCAATCAAATTTATGACACGCGTCGATGGGTCTCTTTCTCTCTCACACTCTTCCTCTTCCAAGAGCTTATGGCCAGCTAATCCGAACTCAGAACTGCACGTGCAAATGGCTCAGAGATAACAGGTACAGCCAATCATAAATCCAAAACCAAAGAAATATATATGAGAAACGAAGATGAGCAATCCAATCAAGTGAGTTGTGGTTTTGGCACACAATTGGGTTGTCCTCTGAGCCGGAGGGAGGGACACAAAGATATTCTTCGTTTACATAGCAGAGCCTGTTACGAGACTCGACACATTTTACGCTAGGTTGGAGATAAGCCGAAGGATTCCCAACAGAGTTGTAGCTTGTATACTACTACCTGTAATTGAAATTACAGTTCACCACAGTTGTTTTTACCTCTCTGAGAAGGGTACAGTCCCAGTCGATGAACAAATGACGAAAGTCTAGTGTAGTGTGTGAAAAAGCCTGCAAAGGTAGTTAGTTGGTAGTTATTATGATGAATAGTACAAGCTACAAGGAACGATCGAGCTGACCAGAGCTGACTTGAGCTCCTAGTTTTTTCTTGTCTTGAGGGGATGTACCAAATGTGCTGGATTCTTACCGACTCAATCATGTCTGACTCCTCCTCCGCCGAAAAGAAGAAGAAGAAGAAGAAACAGATAATAATAATGTAAGGCAAAAACAGTGCCATTATGGGTGCAGCGAAGCAAACTTTCACTAATAGCAAGCAGCGGCAGTTTCCACTGCTGCATTTTCTGCTGATACATAGATAGATAGATAGATAGAATCCTGTATTTCCAGGAATTGGAATTTTAGGAATGCAATTCAAATCAAGGATGTGTGGAATTCCATACGTTTCCCCTTTGTCGTTTTCAAGCTCTGCAACCAATAGATTTTGTTCAATCTGTAATATTTTGACTGCTGCAGTAGCACAGGCCATGGAGCAACACCCATCTCCTGCGCCTGCCGAGGGAGAGGCAGAGATCCAATCCCCTAATTTCTTTCTTTTCTATTCTTTTCTGTGTCTTGTTTCTCTCCTGACTTTCTGCTCATTCAACTCCGTACATATCATGCACCCATTTCTCCTTAGACCGTTATGGATATAGATCTCTGCCAAAGATACTAGCTTGGAGGAGGAGAGTTACTACTGCATATCGAAACCTCACTTTCAGCAACCCTACCTTACCTACATCGCAGAATGCAAAACAGGGTTGCCAGTTTTCAACTAAACTAATCTCTGCCCATTACAGAACACCCCTGGCTAAGCCTATTTCTGCAACCAAGTTCCCAACTTTGTCAATCACTCCCAATTTGACTGCAAGTGACATGGAAGGGGAGAAACGAAAACGCATATGTTTTACTGTTATCCATTACCACTAGAAACAACTGAAAGTGGGGATCAAACGCACTTTGCCCAAGAAGAAGCTTATCTATCTCTCTTCCCATCCCACCTCGTGCCTTTACTTTGTAATGATAAATCATTATTGGGGTTATTCATATCTTATCTTGTGTATATTTCCTCTCCCCCACCCCACTCTCTCTAGCAGAGTCTAGCTCAACTTGTGGGGTCTTCTTCCCCTTCCAAAGATCACTCATCCATTTCCTTCACTAAAGTCTCCCCACTGAGCTACTTGTTTCCCTGGATTGCTGATGTACTTTACTAGTAATTCATGCAAGTTCGTACAATTTCGTATCAGAGAGATCCATTGCATATTTTGGCATTTTAAGAAAACAGCTAAAACCCTTGAAAAAGCCAAACGAAAAAGAAGGTATATAGGTACATACAACCAGGCACAATATATCAATTTAGCACTTCCATCTCCCCCCTCTAAGCTACCCGTCATATCACCCATTTATTGCTTTTGCCAAAGCTAGCACATACTCTTTATCTCTCAAATATATATATATATATCGACCTTTCTCTCTCAGTTTCATGCAACCATCCATCCAGCAGTTCCTTCTGCTCTTTCCCTAACTTCCAGCTCCTCTCTCTTCCGCTACTTACCCCTCATACACACTCCATTCATTCAAATTACAATGAAAGGCAAGTTTGTGGAGACATGCGTGAACAAGTGGAGAAAGATGGGGAGCAAAGTCATACCTTGTGGAGGCTGCGACTACTGCTGCAAACACTACTGGGGATTGTGGCCTGATGTCGGTGAATCCAAGTCGATTCCTGGAGACGTGCCAAAGGGTCATTTAGTTGTATATGTAGGGGAAGATTACAAGAGGTTTGTGATCAAGATTACCTTGCTGAAGCACCCCTTGTTCAAGGCACTGCTGGAGCAGGCTAAGGACGAGTATGACTTCACTGCAGCTGACTCCAAGCTCTGCATTCCTTGCGATGAAAAGATGTTCCTCGATGTTCTTCGATGTGCCAGCTCGCCCCAGCAGGGCAGAAGTTTTCTCTGTCTTTGATCTTTTGTTGGAGGAAGGACATAGGTATTCTCCATGGGATTCTTAAAAGAATTAAGCTAATATAATTGCGCTGTTAATGTATAACTCCCCACCCAATCAATCCATAACTGTTTCGTGCCTGCACTGAATATGTAGAAATTTTTAACATAGAGAGAGGAAGTCTTCTTCTGGGTAGTAATTTGGGTTGGAAGGAAAGGATGCTATGTAATCAGAAAATTGGATGGAAATTGTGCAATCGAAATCTTAATGCCTTCAACGTACATCTTCGGCTTCTTCTATAGTTACCTGAAGCTGCCAAAATTTGCAGTGCATTCATAATGATTTATCTATTTTCTATCGTTATTTTGGAACAATGAGCAAACTATGTTCTAGAGGTCCTGTTAAATGACTGATCAAATAGTTAAAAATGCAACATCAGGCTTCTGCTGATAGATAATTAAGGGATTCTCGAATCGACAAACCTCTTGGAATATAGTAAGCTGCTTTCCCATTCCATTTCCTTTTTGTCTTGTCACCGTAATCGAACTTGTATTGAAGCAAGCATTTCGTACCAAATGGAGGTGACAGCAACCGATTTTGAGCTGAACTGGTATGGTTTGGGCTCAGCCACAAAATGCACAAAACTGGAGGACCTTCTTAACAAACTTTCACAAGTATCTTCATAGCTTTGATTGATCATAAGCTACTAGCTACAAACAGTACAAATGCATTATGCATGTAGAAGTTGAACAAGTAGATAGAATAAATGAAACTGCTGATTATTGAGCCTTGCTTAGTTCAGTCAGATATAGAGCAGCAAAAAAGCACTGAACTTAAAAGAGTTATCATGCACACAAACTCTCAATAAAGAGTAAAGTGGTACCACTATGTAAAGATCAACAACAGAAACCCGTATTTTCTTCAGAACAATGATTAGCAATAACGGAAATATACACATGGAAGGCATTCATTTATCTCATAAAAGAATATACACAGTAGTATATTTTGGCCTCATTTGTTAAAAGAGTGTACATACATGATACAACAGATAGGGCTCACTGCAGAGTGAGCAAAATCAGACCGATGTTCCCAGTGCCGTCTTACAAAAACATCAACACGCAAAAGCACAGAAAGGTCTTCACTGCTTTGCTATTCTAGCGTTGCAGCTGCTAAATTGGCATATGCAAATGGAAGCGTTCATTTCCATAACCATCATGGATCATCATCTTAGGCCATCAATTAGCCCTTCCAATTCTCTCCTCCCAAACCTTCTTCCTTCAGAGTTAGCTTCCTTGCACCTCGCTGCAAAGTAAAATATCAGCCAAGCCACCATGAAGTAAACCTCCACAACCGATTGTAGCATTGCAGCCAAGTACTTCCCCAATACCCGGGCTAAGACCCATCTTGTCGCAGATCCGCAGAGTATAGCTTCCATACACTTCAACTGAACAGCTTGGTGAAACATTGTTGATATCATGTAACAACCTTCCTTCACTATCTCCCTACCAGTCCTCCTGGAATCAACAATTGTAACCCAAGCATCCACAGCAAATACTAACCCCACCAGAGTATCCAACAGAAACCAGGTAAACAAGAACCCTGATATCTCCTTCTCGTACCCACCAATCCATGGAGACATAACTGAGAAAGGCATCAGCTTTAGCCTCACAAAAAGCTTGAAAAAAGAGTACTGATCCTCAATTTCTCCAAAGTACCACAATCCCACAAGCTGAGTCAAAGCATCCCTAACTGCCCATCTCATAAGAATGAAGCCTGTAAGTCTCTTGAGCCCTAATCTCGACCCATCCCACAAGATACCAACAAATGAACTGAACCTCTCTAACAGGTCATTCACCACGGCAACAAACACAATCCCTAATATCCATGAATACATTGCCGTGAACCCGAGGATCACCCACCCATAAGCTGCAGACAAGAAACTTATTAGGTAGAATAGCGCCGCCGCATCTTGGCGGCCGAGCTCGAACCCCTTCACAAAGAAGTGGAAATCGACAACCCCGTCCAAGTCGCGACCTTTCTGCAAACCCATCGACGACCCATTTTCATCCTCCGGTTGATGGTTCCCATTGTCGTCGTAATCGATCTCTTCTGCTCTACTATCGTCAAACCGCAGGCTGTCGGCCTTGAATTGAACCCCGGAGCGAACAATTTCCGGAACCCTGATTCCGTTATCGACGACGAATTGGGAGAACCCGAACCCTAGCTGGAAGTTGTTGAGAATTACGGAGCTGGCATTTGGGGGAATCTTGCGATTCGGGCCGAAGAGCGATCGATCGGAGTCGTCGTCCCCGGAGAAGAAGTCGTCATCTAGGGTTCCGACACGGGTGAGGTGGAGGAAGGGACGGCGGTGGTGGGGTCGTCGATGGAAGCGAGGATTGTGGTTGTGAATGGTGTTGGGATCCTGGTGGTGGAGGTGGTGGCCGGCGAGGTCAAGGCGAGAGAGGAGAGATTTGAGGGAAGGGTCACGATCGATGAAGGAGGTGAGAAGGTGGGTGCCATTCTCGACGAGGGCTCGGAAGGAGAAGAGTAGGAGAGAGAGGAAGAGAAATGTGAAGAGATTTGACGAGAAGGAGGCGGTGGCTTGTCTGATTAGATTGGTCGTTCGCCGGAGATTGTCGATGCTCAGCCGCTGCGGCTGATCGGTCATCGTTTGAGAAAAAAAGAACAAGAAAATGAAGAAGACTAGGAAAACCAAGAGAGAGAAGCAGAGAGAGTTCAGGGATGATGGGGGAATGAAAGAGAAAAGCATGCGGATTCGATTGCTGAGAGATTTGCGATTCGGGAACGACGGGGTTTGTTTCTTTGAAGTTTTGTTTTGTCAAACCGGTTTATGCGGTTACTGGTTCAACCAGCGAAAATATTTGATCAGTATGATTAGTTTGTTTGTCAATTTAATAAAAAAAAAATGTATAAATGTAAAAAATTATTAACAACAAATGAAATTAATTTAATTATATATATAACGGGCAATTTACTAACAACTCATATTTATTTTTTATTTAAATACAACATTAAAAAAACATATACTCATATTTAAATACAACATTTAACATCACTTAAACGTTTATACTGGATACAACAAATAATATCAAAATTTAATTTTTAAATTCATGAAATAAATAATAAAATAATTTTCTATTAATTAAATTCACTAAAACATCGTCATTTTGTTTAAAGGTCGTAAGTCAATCATGTCGGTCATACTCATGATATTCACACCGATTTCATGATCGATATCAGTTGAACCAGGTTCCACCGCCCGATATTCCACCTGCATGACAACAATGCAGGTTGGGCTGAATAGAATCAACTTTCACCCACCCAACTTATCTAGATTTATCATGAAAACTAAGGTTTAAGATTGAGTGATGATTTTCTTTTATGGAACCCGCCTTTTTTTGGTTTGGTGTAAGTTTTGGATTATGTAACTCGCAGATACCCAAACCAACCTAACTTGTGTTATAACTATCGTCCTACATTTTCGTATTCAATAATATATTTATATCATATATACATTGGCGTAGCCAAGAAAATGAATTAGTGGGGTCCAAAAATTAAAGGGTTATAGGTATAATATGCCCCTCTACTATGACGTTTTATCAAACATGCACCTCTACTACTTTTTAGTTTTTACATCAAATATGCCCTTGTACTTTGAAACAATTATCAAACATGCCCTTATGTTAAAATTTCCATTGAAAAAATCGTCAATCATGGTTGAATTGAGATTTAGACGACCCGACATCGGCAAATGGGAGGGAAAATGTCTGTTTTGTCCCCTGTTTTATTTCCCTAGGTCTTTTCAAAGTGAAATTATTTGAATGATTTGATTATACAAAAGAACCAAAAAAAATTCTAAAGTGAATTTATTAGGGATATTTTAGTCATTTGTGTCGCCCAAACTAAAGTTCGGCCTTGGTTAACGGTTTTTGAATGAAAATTTTAACAAAATGTCATGTTTGATCATTTTTACAAAATACAGGGGCATGTTTGATGTAAAAAATAGTAGAGGGGCATGTTTGATAAAACATCATAGTAGAGGGGCATGTTATACCTATAACCCAAAATTAAAAGGAAGCAGAATGTCCTAGTGGTTAAGCTAACTCTTTGGAGATGTGGTGTCCAAAGGTCGAATCCCCCGCTATTCCCTTCGTATTTTCTTTTTTTCCAACGTGAGTTTCCTTTCCAAGTAGGGTCCACTGACCCCACATCAACCAATGTGGCTCCGCCAATGCATATATAAGCATACGTTTATGACAACATTTGAATATTTTATCATATTAGACGTATTTAATGAATACAATTTTACAAGAATAACATACTATAGATGCGCTAGCTTATATTGAATAACGTCTTTAGCTTGGTAAATATTTATGAAAAACACTAGACATATTTTGAAGCAAATTGCACTTCACTAAAATCCAAACAATAACTTCTATCCATTTTGATATTCTCTCTTTAATTTTCAGCTTGAAATTTTAATTAGTTTTATAATATTTTTAGTGTTGGTTTGAACTTTACTTAAAAGTACACAACACTGGACTCAACCTAATCATAAACAAAATGCAGGGTTCTAATTTGTTTGTATGGGTTTAGATTTAGTATTTCAGAAATCGAAATGTATGGGTTGGATAATTTAAAAGGATGATACACGAACCACCCAACCCATGTACACCCCTACTTAGAGGGACATTGGTGTAATGTTGGCAAAATTTTCTTCACGAGACCCATCACTGGTTTGCTCTACACGCACCCTTTACGAGCTCTTAAAATCTTTTCTAAGGAAATAAGTTTCTACTCGGCACATTGGCGAGGTGAGATTCATTTTATTATTTATATTAGGCTAAATTACACATTTGGGCACTCGAATTACATTAATCTTTCACGTTTGCCACCCCAATTACTTTTCTTTCTTATTGGTCACCAACTTTACGAATTGTTTCACCTTTAGTCACCCACCGTTAGTCTCCGTTAAATTCCGTTAACACCGTCAGTTTTTTGATGATGTGGCAAACGGAACTGCTGACTGTACAATTAATTTAATGAAATAACAATTAAAAAATAAAATAAAATTAATTTACCCCTCGCCCAAACAAACTCTCTATCTTCCAATTTCTCATCTCTCTAAAACTAGTAAAGGTCTTCTCGCTCCCTCACCCGCAAAACCTACCCGCCTCGCTCTCACACTCCACAGACACCCAAACCCACCGGCGGAATAAACAGAAACAAAAAAATAATAAAAGCCCACATCTCCCCCGCCACAACTGCCTGCGCCACCGCCTCCCAGGACTGGAGCATCTACCTCGACACGAAACTATCGCTAAGTACTGAATCCACGAGCGGGTCGGTTCCGACGCTTACTCCGACTTCCACACTCCGACTTGGCGCTAGTAATCCGGGAAGGGAAGATGAAGGGAGGGATCCGCCCCGGTGAGGTCAAGCGGTGGATGATGCAAAATCTCTCCGGCCTCGACGCCTGCCACCGGATTGTGGTCGTCCATCGCGATTTGACGCCTGGCACATCGGGGATTTGAATTGCAGCTTTTAATTAGGGTTCCGTTTCATTAATGTCTGACTTTGAATTGGGGTTTTTTTACTACGCAATGGATTATATCCTTCACCTTGGCCACGATTTGCGTATGCCTTGCCCAAATGTTATGGTCGATCTCGATGGTAAGACTATCTCTTGCTCGAGAAGTTGCTTCTTCAGCTGAGAGGAAGGTGTCAGGAGGGATCTAGATGGGAAGAGAGGGAGAAGGAGAAGACGACGAGGGTGGTTTTATGGCGAGATAACTGACAGAGCTGGATGGTGGTTTTCAGGCGTTGGCCTTCAGCGGTGGCTGCTGTAAGGAAGGGAATGGTTGAAGATTAGTGAGAAAGAGTGGAAGGGGAAATGTGTTTTTTTTTATATTTTTATATATTTTTAATTGACATGTCATTAAATTAATGGTACAGTCAGCAATTCCGTTTGCCACGTCATCAAAAAATTGACGGAGTTAACGGAATCTAACGGAGACTAACGGTGGGTGTCTTACGGTGAAACAATTCGTAAAGTTGGTGGTCAGTAAGAAAGAAAAATAATTCGGGTGGCAAATGTGAAAGATTAATGTAATTCGAGTGACCAAACGTGTAATTTAGCCATTTATATTAATTAAGTTGAAGAACGTTCAAGAGGAGGTGACAATGTCGTTGATGCAGTAACCTTATCTTATCGACCTTGTATTTCTTTTTGGTGTTGTCAATCTGGTTCTTACACTGAATATCGGTGCGGTGAATCTTCTTGGTGAGGAGGTGGATGGCGTTGGCGGCGTCCTTCCAGTCATTCTGGCAGAGATTTCCCTAGTTGAACTCGATAAAGCGGTTACCTTAGGCCTAGACAAGTGGCCTCTTCGCTGCAACAATATTCCTTAATGGGGAGAGGGCATGAGTTAGGGTTGCTGTAGGGGTGGGCAACGGGAAACGGGTATTTGAGTATACTCATACCCGTCCCATTTTTTTAGGGTTACGGGTACCCAAATACCTGTAAATTTCTTTACAGGATGGGACTTGGGATCAATAATTTCTACATTGGGTACCCGCGCATTACCCGTTAATACCTGTTTGGGTAGTACGGGTACCCGTAATACCCATTAGCAAAAATTTCCTACAATTCATAATCAACAAGTTCGTGCAAGGGTGATGGTGGTAGGGGTGCACGAAGGTGAATGGGTTTTGATACCTTAATGCATGTAATTAAATTAGCCAATGCTGCATGTATTGAAAGATGGGGTACGGGGTCGTTTGGAAGTTGCGGTTGTTAAATAGATGTATTGTTAAGAATGCATGTATAATATTATATATGTATTGTCGAATTTGATGCATTGTAGAATGCAACGTTTGGTATGTGTGATTGTGTATGTCGCATTAGCTAAAAGCTGAGACAAAACAATCTCAACTCAACTATCTCAACAATCACAACTAAAAGATGAGATATAACAATCACTCAAAATGAGTGATAGTTTCTGTCACATCACAGAAACAATCCATGTATTGTTTCTGTTAAAAAAAATAAAAAAAACGATGCATTGTAAACAATACATACATAATGACAATCTCAACAAAACAATCGCAACTTCCAAACGACCCCTAAGTACGTTGGTGAACTATGGGAGAAAAAGGGAAGGACGAGAGTGTTGGGGGATTAAAGGGGATTCAATTATATATCCAGTAGGTTTCTCATTATTCGACAAAGAACTTGCTGCTACTGTTTTGAAGCCAAAGAAGTTGTTGTTGTGCGTTAAATGTTCGCATTGCTTGTAGCTTCTCTTTTACTTTTCGTATAATGTAGTTTGTAGGTTTGTTTAATTGTTTAAACAGTAGGTATCTCATTATTTGACCATAGACTTCTGTTTAACTCTCTTTAATTGTTTAAGTGTGTGTTAAAATACTGGTGGCAACTTCTCATTATTTAGTAAATTTGTATTTGTTTTAATTGTGTGTTAAACTTCTGTGGTCCTCAAGTTTTGCCACCAATTAGACGGGTATATACGGGTAGTTTGGGTACCCGTTATCCGTCCCGTACGGGTAACGGGTACCCGTTACCCATATGAATTTGGGATATGGGATAGAGTTTCCTCTTCAAATGGGATTGGGTACCCGTTTTAAACT